AATAGTCTTAAATAAATTTTGTACAGATCAATGAGCGCAAAACTCACGCCCGTTCTTCGATAATTAAATTTCTAATTTTCAACGATTTTAACAAGATATCTGAAATAAAAGAGAAAAACAGCGGGAGGACTATGTTATTACCAGAACTGAAAATCTGAGAAGAAAACTCAGATTACATCATGAATGTTAGTGAATTAGTAGTCTCCCTTTATTTCGAAGTGTTTGGTTGGCAAAATTTAGAACTAGAATTGGATAAAACAACTTTTTCTGTCTTTTTAATACCTACGTTATGAACGTTGTATAAGAATCAATGAGATTGATTTTGAAATGAATCAGCTCAGAAATATTTATTATAAGTATATTACTAATTTTAGGAAATAAAGGAAAAATAACTAAATTAAAAACCCTAAGGGGCTACTGTTAATTAAATGTAAGAATTTAGTTCTACACATTCGCTAACTTATTATGCATCAATTATTGAAATGAGTGAATTTATATCATTGGGATCAGACTGAAACCGTGAAACTGTAGGCTCGCTGTTTCCGGTTTTGACGCAAAGTAGACTCGTAAAAGCATTTAAATGATTGTCATGTGTTTGGTTTTGAATTAAATCGAGTTATGACTTATACGCATTTATCTATTTTTGATATGGAGTAATATATACATGAGTGTGTAAAATACTTCGAAAATGAAAGTAATGAAAACAGGAAAGGGAAACAAATTCGTTGTTTTAGTTGATGCAGAAGAACGAAATCTTAAAATAAAAAAAAACGCGCCTTTGAAAATTATCAGCGGAGCAAAGAATGAATTTGCCATTGGTAACAGATTTTATTTACTAGTTTTGATAGAATGACTGTGCAGAACGTGTTAAGTTTTCGACATAAGAAACGTGAAAAATCAACTCCACCCTCGCCAATAAATTGAAACTGCGGGTCTTTTATTGTTACTTGGCTGTGTTAACTAGTTCACCGCAAGAGCGTGTATATGATGATTATCACAGATCTTTAGAGCTTCGCCAAGCTTCATTCCGTATTTTACTGAGAACACACAATGCACCACCAGTTGAACAGATTGCCGGATAGCTAGCATGTCTATCGACGAAAAAATTAGTTTAATACCAAACCAACCATTGACCAGGAAGACAAAAGACGTCATTAAGTGCTACATGATCAGAGCGTACAAGAAATGATAGCAAGTGAATTCACGAGTCTATATTACGTATGGATTGCTTATTGCAAAACTTATAGCCTGTTATGAGTACAAACCATAAGAACACAGTAACAGAAACTGACAGAATGACACATTGAAAAAATGTCATTCGTCATTCTCTCTATTTCTGTGCTGATATTTGCACCCAAAATGCTGACATATGAACAGACTGCAGATAGAAAGCAATTATGAATGCTATAGTGCGATAGTGAATAACAATGAAAGCAAATTGATTAATGCAGAGCATTATAAGCACGATCACCAGTTAACAGTACAAGAAGGACTTTACAAGAAACAGTTAAAAGAAAGGCAAGAAACGAACAGCAGGTAATAAACTGGCAATGTAAATAATAATCTCGAACGAAATATATAGAAAATAATACTGCTATACAAACAGCAAATAAAAAGTATCAAAATCTGCAAAAAACAGGAGAAAGGGCGTGTATTAAGTAATGATTAGTAAATATTGTACAATGATAATACCAGAAATTGCAAATGGGTAAATGTACAAAAATGCCTCATACAATGATGATAAAATCATTGTATAGGGATGATTCCTATACAATGATGTTTGAAAAATACGTTCACCAACGGACTTTAAGTGTTCCTACTCTGCATAGTTAATACAATTACAGATATCTGTGTTGTACACATTATTCTAAATATTGATCTTCAAAATGGGCCGTTAACCATCATATAAATTGGATGGCGCTTCGGATGTAATTGATTTTATCTTCAAAGTTAAACGAAATATTTAAGGTAGGTAAAATTTGAATGTTCTTCAACTGCTACAGAAAAGCTCTCTCATTTTTAGGTGTTAGGTTACAAAATACATTTTAACTGGGATTATTTCCTAACACTTCACGCTCTCTCGTGTATGTTGCATGCAAGTTAATTACCCTTTAATGAAAAGCTATTGCAAATCATAATAAAGTAATAAGCGTCAAAACAATTACACACGTTAAAGTTTAATAAATTAGTTTTTCCTTATTAGCACTAAGGACATAGTGTTTTCATATACTTCTTTATAGAATTATTTGATTAGATGCATGGTGTTATCAGTTTAATTCATAGTTATTTAAATACATAATCAATGCAACAAGATTTATTTTAATTTATTTATATATTATTTATTTTTACGTAACTTCACTAACTACATGTTATTTTATCAACTTCATTTAACTGCGCCTACATCTGTATGCGCATATTTTTCATAATATATTAAAATACACAATACACATTCCTTTTACATTTTTAAATTGCATGCAAAAGAATCAAAAGAAAGATGTTTCTTTAACCTAAGAAAATTCCACAAGCTTGAAAAACAGATGTTCTGCTTCAGTTAAGTTTTAGAGGTGAGAAAAATTAACAACTAAAATATATTAATTAAATTAACTAAATTATAATAATTAAGCAAAATTAATGATTCTGTCGTCAGAACAATTCATGTGTATTTATAAGGGATTATTATAATTTCAGATAGATCAGAAAAATTTTCTTTCTTATTTAGATTTCATATTTGCACATAATGGTTTCTGCAAGTTTTTTTAGCAGTAAAACTATTAAACAAATATTAAATTTGAGCAATTATGAAAACTATTAACTAACCCATAAATTAAGTTATAAGGATTAGCAATTAAAAATATTTTAATCTACTCTTAATAAGCACAACCTTACTTCAAACGATACAAGCATGCAAGTATAAAAATTTTAATAACTATCTTCCTAAAGCAATTAAAGGACAATAATAAAGCTTATCACTAATGTATTCTTTCAAGCATTTATCTTACATTACATATTAAATGACGAAACAATGAATTACTTATTGTTTTTGTACATTGCAGTGGCAAAGAATATATACACCTGTAAGCATATAATATTTAAGTAATTTAAAATTAGCGAAGACTATTTTTTTTTGGTAAGAAAATATACTGCACCTACAATTAGTTGCATACATATGTTTTCTTACTCAGAATTATGCATTAGGATAAGTATTTCTTTAATTTAAATGAATTAAACGTTCAATTTTTTACTGCTTCAAAGAAGAATAATTCAAATTCCTTCCGCGTTTTTCAGAAAATGATATACTGTAAGATGTTTTCCTATCATTAACCTGGCAATTGCAGGAAAGTTTCTGTAAACGTTTGCTAGTATGTTCTACACTGAAATAATTGCTACGTTAGAATCGCGTGCGTGACGACGGGAAACGCAAAGGTAAAAGTACTTCTGAAATGAAGGTTGAAGGAATGCATTCAAAAATTGAAATATTCTCTGCAGCTTAAAAAATGACAGCTTGCTTAATTCTTAACTGGCAACGGAAATTCATTCATTTAGAAGAAATTTATGTTTTCTATCAGAATAAAATTAAAGTTACAACTTAGTGTCTCAAACAGAAAATAGTAGGTTCAAAATAAGGAAAAAATAGAATAATCACGCGTATAAATCCCTTTTTCAGACAAGCTTAAAAGTGGAATTCAAACTTGAAAATAAAATTTAATCATAAAGTTTACCTAATTTTGTTTCTTTATCAAACATAACATATTAACAAAAGGCTGAAGAGTTGAAACCATTCAGTGATACAACTAATTAAATTACATCAATGCCAAAATTTCATAACTCACTCGAAATCTTTTCGAAATACATCGACCGGAAACTTTAGAGCAGAGCTTTGGTATTTAAGAGGTTAATTAAATATTAATTATGAAGCTATTTAGAAAGTGAGCTGGAAGCTTTCAATAACGCTATACACAGTGAATGAAATTTACTATTTTACACTGACTTTAAAGCCAGAGACTTCAAACTAGTTAAGAATGAAATACACAAAGTGTTATTTTAAAAATATTGTACTTGTATTTAAAAGTACGATAATTATATTTTTTTAAAACAATGATAGTAAAGTTTTTCAAATTGCGGCAACTAGAATTTTGAAAATACTGTACTTATATTTTTCTAATATAATATAAATACTTTAAATTTTAAAACTACCTTATTAAGTTAATAATTTTTAATTCAGATAAAAATAATTACGATTTTATGAATAAACATTTTAAATATGAATATTTTATTAAATTAGACAAAGTATCTTTTTAAAGTGTTGAGATACTTTTTTAATGCCAAAAGGATATTTATCATAATAATTTCTGGCCTAAGTTTACAAAACAATGTTAAGCTTTAATAATTCTAATTAAAATGATCAATATACTATATTAATTGTATGTATAGATTAATGTTAAGCCTGTAGTTTGTTACATAATTAGTATGCTTTGTAATTAGCTCAAATGCTCCTTAGTTACGAATTTTATTGAATTTCATAAATAAGGAACCTTTTTTAGAAATTATCTAATGACTACTAGACTCGGAACAAATTATAAGAACAGATGGTCACTGAATTCTGAGCTTACATTACTATAAATTAGGAAATCATATACTTTAAACATATGAAATTATTCATCTATTTGTTTTCTACGGACTAACCTCAAATGTTTACAAACATATTTATATTTTAGCCAAAATCATTACTGCTTAATTAGTAAAGTAATTAATGAAAACTGTTGTTGATTTTTATCGTCGTTTAAAATAATTTTTAATTCTTCACATATAAAATAAATTCGAAAAAAATTTGTAACAATAAAAATAATTTTACGAATTCGTTTTTTTTTTCAGCTGCGTTGAAAAAAAGTTAAAGGGAAAAAATGCAATTAATAAAAATCGTTTTATGCGAAAACTTTCATAATTTGAAAGACACTTTGAATATGATCATGAACTAACTTTTGATATGAATTTCCACTTACCTTAGATGATTATCATTTCACAGTTCTGTAAACGGTAACAGTTTCGCATATGTAACGGCATTCGTTTGTTTTAAGTTTTCGCTTTATTAATTTTTATCGACTGCAAAAGTACTTTTAATTGCAGAAAGTTCTGTATCCGAGCGAAACAACATGATGACTGCGCGGCCTACTGTGAGTGATGCTCGTTGCCCGATCAATAGGACAACCGTACTAGGACGGCCAAGTAAGCTTTTAAAAAGCCTGTAGTGTACTAGACACCGCGCACTTCATTCACAGCAGAGTGGCAGCGGCGTTTGGGGAGACTACTCTCACAACATGGTGGATGCTGGGACAGGTCGTTGCGCATGCGCCCTAGTGGAAGCGCCAACACTACCGCCGCGTTTTGAGAGAGAGGAAGCGAGAGAGAGGCACCCCTTTACATTTGTTTTTTAAAATTTTCATCTTCGATGTCTTTTTTTTTTCGGGTGAGATATTTTCTTCTCATAAGAAATGCGTTCTGTTTCATCTGGCTGGGTGCGGCGGTCTAAAGACCTAGGACTGAAGCTACGTTAATTATTCATATTCTCTACTCTTACTCGTTCTTTTTTTTAATGTCTTTCGTTTCAAAGAGAATTTCTTTTGTTTAGTTGATGAGGAGATAGCCGTCACCCTCGAATGAGTTGGGAATATTTTATGAAAGGCGACTCTTTGACAAGTTTTCTTGTTACTTCTTTCGCACTGGATTCAGGAAATTAAGTGACATGTTCTTGGAGGCAGAAATACTCATTAAATGTGACAAAAATGTCATGAGAATTTTATGAAAGTTATAGAAATTATTCTGTCGATAATCTTAACGCTAAAAGGAAATTTTGACATTGATTAGTTAGCTTTTCTTTGTGTCAGTGTTGGATGATTTAATTCTGTGTCAGTGTTGGATGATTTAATTCTGTGTCAACAGTTTTATCATAATTAATTTATTTCAGATGTTAAAAGAATATTTCAAAATTTTGTAAAATACAAAAAGTAAAATATCACAGCAAAACACATTTAATGTGAAACATCGCGCCAAACACTGTACTGAATATGTACTGTATACAGCGTAACAGTAATGCCGGAATATATATATATATATATATATATATATATATTACCAAATGGCGGGCCATCAGTCGACTTCAGCTTAGCGTCTACTAAGCCCAGAAGTTGAGGTACCTAATAGGTGGGTCATCGTGGCCTCCTACGAAGGGGCCGGACAATTACAAGCATACCTTCTCCGGGGTTTGAACCCGGGACCTTTGGTATCGCGGTTGGCAACCCTAACCACTATACCGTTTGGGCGGCTGAAGGAAAATATATTAGACGAGTCATTCGAAAACTAGTCATTTCATGTTCTCTCAAGTTAATGTTTCTTTTAATGTTTCGCTTTTTAGAAAAAAAAAAATATATATATATATTCTAATAAAAGCAAATAATCCTTGCCTATTGTATGTAAATCTAGAGAATAATTAAATCTCCTTCCAACAGAATCTTGCCATTCACCCTATGGTGATGCCACATAACTGCAAGTAAGCGTTGCGTAGAAAAATACCTCGGAAGAAGATCCCTTCACTGTTTCAAATAATACAAATCTGCAAAATATGTCAGCAAAAGTGTTACAATGCATATGGACTGTTTAAAGTAAACTGGGCGTGCTGTTTTTATATATATAAGCGAAATTGTTTTCTTACTGGCACACTTGTCGGCTGCACAGTTTATATGTACATGGTTAATCATCTGTTTTATTGCAAATTAAACGTTTGATCTATATTGCCAAATGTATAAAAATTAACCGCTGTTGACAACATTTGCCAAATGAATTCCTCTTCTTCAGTATTTAAAACTTTAAAAACACATTAAGGGAAAACCAGTCAGAGAAAGGTCAGGCTTCCGAGGTTGGATTATATCAATAGAGACCTTAATATTATTACAATACCAACTGGGGAATATTTAACCAAACAAGGAGTAGCATGGAAGAGAATACTGAGAAAGACCAAGGTTCACCCTGACTAAGGTCCCACCTTCTATCAGCGTGAAAAAATGCAACGAGGGATTCCTTTAGGCAGTGATGCCCAGCCTTGTGCTCGCCGATCGTTTTGTATGTGCTCGCCAGCCCGATTAGGGTACTATGAACAAAAAATATTTTAAATAACTATTCATTTATATATCTTAATTGTTAAAGTACGGTAAGCATTTATAGTCATAAGAGATATCTTGCAAGACGTTATAAAATAATTGATGTCTGACTGATGAACTTGATAGCGAACATGAAATCTTATTGCTTCATTTCGATGTTAGATGGCTCAGCAGGGGAAAAGTACTTCAACTATTTGTAGAACTTCTTTCGCCAATAAAGCAGTTTTTGGAATCCGGAAACGAAAGTTATAAAGAATTCGAGGATAATAATTGGTTATCCGATCTGTATTTTCTCACGGATATAACAGCTAAAAAAACTGAACGAAGATCTCCAGGGAAAAGATAAAAGTCCTTTTTCAATTGACTGGGACTGTAACTGATTTTCAGATAAAGTTAAATGTGTGGATAAATCAGATGAAAGAAAAACATTTCAACCATTTTCAGAATTTATCAAGCCATATTAATAACCACAAGGCAATTGGAACAGGGAAATACTCGGAAAACCTAAATGCACTGAAAAAGAATTTTGGACTCCGCTTTTGTGATTTCTATAAAATTCAACCAATATTATTATTCATCTCAAAACTATTTGCCGAAATTAATATTTCAGATGTATCACATAAAATTGGAAATATATTTAATAAAAATGTTGATGTCTTGGAAATGTGCTCGCGATAGGCCAAAATGTGCTCACGAGAGGCCAAAGGCTGGGCACCACTGTCTTTAAGTATGCACATTCTTGCGTGATCCAAAGTCCCTATGTTCTGAAATTGTGAAATAACGCGGCTGTTCATGTTTTATATATGGTTAGAAGAAGGAAACTTTGAAGCATACCACAGTACTGGTTGCAAGCATCTCGTAGGAGAAGGAACTGTGGAGCGGATTTGCTATGCCAAGAATATCTAGCTGATAAATGGAGAACATGTGCAAATCTACCTCTTGGATACTCTTGAGCCGATAACGGAAACCTCTTACATCACCACTATCCAAGAACGCTTAGGCTTTCTTTCCACACAGGAAGGGTTTCGTTGCCCTCTTCCTTGATAGTGGCGAATATGTTTTCTTATCGATTATTTGCTCAAAGCGTCGCAGTAAATGCTGTTCTTTGTTGCGAAACAATGGAGTGTTTGAAGATGAAGATTTAAGGAAACAGATCTGGAAAGCTGTCTTAAGGCATTCGTTTGAAGAAAAATGCAAGTTGCAATACAGCAGTTGACCTTTTGATAAACATCTAATGTTCGGGATGAATTGCGTTATTCTCCGTACGGTCCTGAATTATCATCCTGTGATTTTCAGATGTTTCAATGAAGAAGGTACACAAGGGCAAACGCTTTGCGTTGTACGCCCAAGTGAAAAATGCATTTTCTCCGTGGCTTCACGGGTGTCTGGAAGTTTTCTACGGAAAAGGAATTGATTGTCTAGTAAATAAATCTGTGGGACCGTTGTCTCATTAACAGTGGACAATATGCCAAATAAAAACTATTTCTAGAATCACAACGTGGAAAGTTAATTTAATTATAAAAAAACAAACACTTACATAATTTCGCTGAACATATGAGGCTTTAATTCTTCCTATTAGCTAAAAATATCTTCGATGGTTTATCGGGGAAAACAGCTGAAATGTTTTTTTTTTTTTTTTTTTTTTTTTTTTTTGTTATTGTTCAGAAAAACCAGATGTTGCTATATTTATTTCCTAAACGTTTTGATAATAACTACGTATGTGTGAAAATGTTCAAACTTGCTTTTGTTATAATGCCAGTACATCACTACTGTAACTACTTTGGCGTAAACACCGTAACCAACGACCAACACTATAACTAATTAACTACTGCTAATGATTGCATAAAATAAGAGCAAATAAATTATAGGTTTCTTTAACTAAAATTGTTGTGATAAAGCTTACATATATCACTTGTCTGACAGTAACTTCAGAACAAACCCACGAAATTCATCGTAGCAAGATTGCGCTGTCGTTGGGAAGAGCCTTGAGCACCATCCAGGTGACAGTACGACTTCATTCAATTCCGCCTTCAATTTTGAAGGAGAGCACTCCGGTGGAACGGATACAAGGGTCTCACACTCCTCTTCCCCTACCACCAATCTTCCGAGAGTATTTTCGTCCTGCCTCATATTTATAGTGTCCCCATGTCGCAAAGACACTATACATTTATAATCATCCATGCCTTCTCCAGGATTCGAAACCGGGTCCTTAGGTAGTAGGCTTCCCTGAAGAATATACCGTCTGGGCAGTTTAACTAAAACTGCAAACTAATAACTAAACTAAACATGTACTCATATGTGATTATATCGCTATGTGTTTTAAATTCAAATTAATGCCAGTATTCTGATGAGAAACGCATAATAGGAAATAGTCTGTATTCCGTACTCATTCGCACTAATGTGGTAAAGTTTACATTAGAAAAAAAAGCAAAAGCGGCCTTTGTGGAGGACTTTTTTAAAGTTAATGGAAAGTCTTTAAATTTATGCAAAATGCAACATAGACTTTAAATTCTATCATGAAATATTATGCTTACATCTTATAAGATAGCTTCAAAAATATTTTAAAATTATTGACTTTTAAAAATATTGACTTTTTAAAATAGATTGGAATAACTTCTGAATTATTAAAAAGAGTAAATATTAATTTTTATATTTGGATTATAATTGGATTGGAACAAGTCTTACGAGAGATATTTTCTGTGTGGGAGAGGGTCTTTTAAAAGAAACGTTTTCATATTCCCGTAACACATGCAGAAATCCTCAAAACCTCCAATCCAGCGAAATACCAGTGTTCAGTGTTGTAACCCCTCGACTCCTGGAGGGTCAAAATAAAGTATAAAGCAGCTTAGTATTTTATTGGGCAAGAAAACAAGTAAAAAGAAAGTTAAAAATTCAGTCGAGATTATTTAAAAGAGCATGACCATGAATTTAAAGAGCAAAAATTAATTATGAAAGAAAGTAAAGAAACTAAACATTTTAAGCATTACGAATTTCACACCAGGGAAACAAATATAAGATTTTTTATTTGTTGAAAACAAAGAGCTAAATAGTTTATTGGGCAAAAGAATAAATGTAAATTATAGCAAGTAAAAGAAATGAATATTTTACTGGGCAGGGTAATGTGCAGTATAATAAATATCTA